CCTTGCAGGACAAAAAAAAAAAAAAATGTAAAGGAGACACCACAGTGGAACTCAAAACATCCTGTAACCTCACTCACCTCTTGGCAATGCCACTAGACCAAAAGCATTCCTAGATTGTGATTCTCTTTGAGGTCTGTTCCTTTCCCGTCTAGCACACAGACTGGGAGGTAAGATTGGGTCTTGGATTTGGAGGCCAGAGACAGCCCCAGCCGCACTGTCATTAAGTCAACATATTCCCCCTGTGATTTTTAGGGTGCCTTCAATCACATAAAATCCAGGCTGTCTTGCCCTGCCAATCAGCCATGGCCAAATGGCAAGCCTTTTGGGTGTTTGCTCTGGGACCCTCACTGTTCATTTATGACATGATTCCAAAGAACACGAACCCTGTTAGACACTTTCAAAATAGAATGTAGCCTCCAAAAGAGGGCAAAGCCTGCAGTCACCTCTTCAGGAATTCAGTGGGGTCCTTGATCAAGTAATAGACAAAATGTCCAGAAAAGAAAACGAAGTTTGTAGATATAGAAACAGATTTGGTAGTAGGTAACAAAAGTGGATGAACAATTTAATGAGACTTGCAAGTGATAAAAAATTCTTTCAGAGCTAGTCAGCCTGTCCACTTGGGCTCTAGAATTCTACATCTTTGGAGATGGGAAGTGGGGATGAGAGGTAAGCACCATCATTAAGAAAGTCTATGCATTTCCTCTCTGTGTGCCAGAGTTTCTGCATGCTTTCCCACTTTTTTCTTGCTTAGATGACTGATTCCAATGATTTACTTGAAAGACTGTGTTTCTCCATCTGTTCTTCATTATACTGACTTATCTTCCTAAAGTACAATGTGAGTCATTTTACTCCCCTTCTCAAAAATCTGCAATGGCCTCTTTTGTCTATGGGGCGGGGGCCGGGAAAGGTTCACACTCTTTAATATACTTTGGTCGTAAACAATCTTTACCAGATTTAAAACACTAATAGGTAACATAGAATGGGAAGCCACTGGCATAGTGATCGAGAGACTTGGTGTCACAACTCTGCCACTAACTAGCTATGAGATTGTAGGCAGAATTACTTACTTTCTAAGCTTTAGTTGTCCTTAGTAAAATGGGGATAGTGATAGTTAACTCACTGGGCTCTTGTGAAAGTTCAGTGAGAATGAATGAGTCCTATTTCCCACTTGTTCCATGTACTACCACTGTAGGGGATTTTCCATTTTTCTTTCCCTGCCATTCACTGTCATAGCTTTGCTGCTCATGGTTTCTCATCAGCACATCCCTTTCTCTCCAAAACCCTCCACCCATTTTCCACTTGCAGAAACTTTTTTCAGAATTCCAGTCTGGATTTGAATGCCTCCTCTGATCATGCATCCCTTGGCCCTCCCTACCCCCAGTCATCAAATTGTATTTGTCATCCTCTACGCATCTCTATCACCCCTTCACGCCATATCGCAATGCGTAATTCACATATTTCACTCCCTTTTCTCCTGAATTCTGTATTAGCTGACATTCCTCAGATGCCAAATTTCACTTAACTTTTCCTCCATTCCTAGCACCTAGCAGAAATATTTGTACATGATAAGCACTCCATTCCATGAAAATTATCCCAGTCCTTCCATTAGTTTGGTCCTCCATTCCCTTAGTAACTTTTATAATATATTGACTAAATCCCAAACATTACTTTTATTTTAAAATTATTTTCCCAGAGCCCAAATTTCCATCGACTGATGAATGGATAAAGAACAGGTGGTGTATTTCTATAATGGAATACTACTCGACGATGAAAAAGAATGAAATCTTGCCATTTGCAACAACGTGGATGGAACTAGAGGGTGCTATGCTAAGCAAGAGAAGTCAGTCAGAGAGAAACAAATATTATATGATTTCACTCATATGTGGGATTTGAGAAACCAGATGAACATTGGGGAAAGGAAGGAAAAATAAGATAAAAAATAGAGGGAGGCAAACCATAGGAGACTCCTAAATACAGAGAACCAAGTGAGGGTTGCTGGAGGGGAGGTGGGTAGTGGGATGGGCTAAATGGGTGATGGGCATTAAGGAGGGCACTGTTTGGGATGAGCACTGGGTGTTATATGTAAGCGATGAGTCACTGAGTTCTACTCCTGAAGCCAAGACTACACTGTGTGTTATCTAATTTGAATGTAAATTTAAAAATATATATATTTTCCCCTAAATATCTCTGGCATAGTATAAAAAATCCCACTGATAATTTGGTTTCCATTACATTATATGAAAGAAAAATCATTATCGTACCCTAACAGATTCTCAGCTGAGATTCTTCACGCAAGGTTTTTAAATTACAAAAGCGATGTAAAAATATTATAAAACCTTGGAAAAGAAAGAACAGAAGCGATACACGTTCCCACCTATCAAACATGAGCCTGTGTTCTAAGGCTTCTGCTACCTACGAGTGTGGTCTGAACCAGCACAGCCACACACTTAGGAATGCAGAATCTGTGCCCATCTCAGAACAGTGCAATCAGAATATGATAGATTTACACCTTAATGTGTGAAAATCACCCCTCCAAGACACTGCAGAGAACCCCCAAGCTTCTGCCTCCTTCTAACAAACAGCACCCGCTGGACACCAAGTACAAATACCATGATTTCATCTGCAAGATCTCTCCCAGGACTGACTCGAGAACATATGAAAAACATACGAAGAGAGTGTTGCCTTCTTTGGAGCTGTTTTCTTGTCCAAATCAAGTAGTTGTGATCAAAAAAGCTGCCAATTTCATAGAGGTGCAAACCTTCTCGTCTTCAGTGACTCCACTTCTCTGGTGTTTGAATTTTCACAGTGCTGTCTCTAAGTCTAAAGTTTCACGCTTTTTTAATGTGCTCACTCCTTCCTCGAAGAGCTCAAAACTCAAGGGGAAGAAAAGACATTGAAATGGACATTCCACAATAGAGCTTAAAGCACACATTTTGCTTGCCTTGGCCAGGTTCATCAAGTTTTGTGTTTAGAAATTCTTTTTAAAAGGTTTGAAGCTCAAGGAAAGCCCAGAAAGGTGACATTTCAAAAGTAAATGTTGTGCTCGTCCTTTACAGAGTGATTTTTCTCTGAGGAAAAAAAGAAAATTGTGGACTCAAACAGACAACATATTCTCAATATCCTGTGGTGTACTTGAAAAAAGAGCGCTATATTGAAGTGCCCTTTAAATATCAGAAGATACATGATAAATAGTGTACACTTTCTTTTTATTAAACAAGGGATACTCCTCTAAGGGGGAAAAAAAAAACTTTCTGTAATACCATGCAGCTCAGAGCGCTGAAAAAAACAGGCTTAAATGAATGTTAAAAATAGCCTAGAAGAGGAACTTTTAGTAAGATGTCAAAAGGGAGTCATAGGCAGCAAGAGTTCTGTGTACTGAAATGCGGCTGGGGCGCAGGCATTGCTGCTGTGGGGTTGGGGGGTGGGTGGTCATTCGGTGATTAAATGTCAGCCTCCAGTTTTCCCTCAGCAAAGCTTGCTGTTTGCTTTTCATATAAGCCCCTCCTGAGTCAGCCAGGAGCTGCCTGACCTGAAGCCTTCCAGGGCCTCACTATCAAGTTCCAGGTTGTTTTTCTTAATTTGCCAGTTTGCCAAGATGTTTTTGTGATTATCAATGTGCAATGTTCTCAAGTCATTAGAGACCCTATAGTTTACCACCATGAAAAAGTACCATTTGAAGGAATAGGGAATATTGCAGAAAGCATGGAAATGGGTTTGTGTGCCTACAAAGCCTCTGGGCTTGAGGATTTCATTCCAAAATAGGATTTCCAACTAGTGCCGACATAGGAACTGCTCCCTGAATGCCCCAGCAACCCTCCCTGCCTTATGTGGGTAGTGTGAAGAGCAAATGGAAGAAAGAATTTGCAAGAAGGTTTCAAATAACAAAATAATACAAATGTAAGTTATCACGATCCCCTCCTCCGTAAAATGGGGAAAAGGGGCAAGTGAATCTTCATTATGTAACGGTTGAAACAAACCATCCTTGACGTTGTCATCCAAGTATGAGATATTGCACGTTTCTCAGCCTCTTTACTTCCCGTATGTCTGCTGCCTCTGTGGTTTATGCAAAGTGTAATACGTGCTATGTAATTGTCAGCGTGTGTGTGTCTAGGGGAAAGAAGGAAGGAAAGAGACATTTGTGGTCGTGTTCAACATCTGAGTGCTGGCTGCGTGGAAGGCCGGAGGTAAGACCTGTCTGAGGTCTGACCAGCCCAGGCCAGCAAGTTTCCCTGCCTGCAGTCCCCGCAGCGGCGCCTGCCTAGCTTCACTGAGGCAGGAGTAGCGGAGGGAGGGGACCCGGCCGCGGAAGGGTGGGAGCGCTCGGAGGGGCAGCCCGGGAGGGCGCCAGCCAATCGGAGCGCGCTCCGCCAGCGGCCAATCACGGGCCGCGTAGCCCGGCAAATCTGCCCGGCAGTGCGGGGCGGGGCTGCAGGGAGTCCGGGTGCCGCCGGTTACACTTCTGAGCGCCTTCGGGAAGCCACAGGGCAGGGGGAGTGTGTGCTGAGAAGACGGGGGAGGAGTAGTAGGCAGGCCCAGCTTCGGTGCCAGCCCAGTGACACACTAGCGGGGTAAATCTGGCTCGTGATGTTGCGGCCGGGCGCTCACGTGTGTGTAGACCCACCGGCTTCTCTGTGTGCCGTGTGGGCACCTGTCGTGTGAGTGGCTCCGGGCGTGGCTGCTCGTCGGACGTTCAGTTTCTGTAAGATTTATCTCTAGGGGCCTACCTAACCCCGGCTCCAGAGGGGAACGTAAGAAGTTTAACGGAGCCAGGTCTGAGCAGATTAAGGGAGTGGAACAGTGGCTGGGCCAGAGAGGGTGGGGACTGCGGGTGCTGGGGGGTGGGTGTAGGGGGTAGGGAACCATCTATTTGCCCCGTCTCCCAGGCAGAAGGCCCTTTGGCAAGACTGGCGTGACAAAGGTGGCCCTGGAATGTCTAAAGTCTGGACCATGATGATCACGGAGTGAGTGGCACCGGGCAGTTTGTTGACTGACAAAGAGGGATGCTAGCAGTTAGGAAGGTAAGGAGGAAACTCAGGATGGGGACCATCTGCTCCCCCAACCCCACCGGGACAAAGACATCATCGGAGGTCTGCAATGCCGACTGGATGGCCTCGCTCCCCCCTCACCTCCACAACGTCCCCCTTTCCAATCTGGCAATCCCAGGTACTCTTCTATTCCTACTTGTTCCCACTGTGTTTGCTTCTGCCATTTTAGTGTCATTAATGGATTGGGTTGCTTTTCTGTTGCGCTGAGAAAATAATTGTCAGTGACCTTACCAAACCTCTTTTTATTTCCAACCAAAAACTTAACACTGAAGCAGCTGCCATAAACAGATTTAAGTACACTGCATCATTGGCAAAAGAGACTCAGAAGAATGGAACACCATTTTTTGTTTATTTGTTTGTTTGGGTCTTTTGGTTTTGTTTGGTTTTGTTTTTACTTGATAGCCTCATTCTAAGAATGTTACATTCTTAACGTTGGAACCAGGCCATATGAGGGGTGCATTTACCTGAATCACTTAAAGAAAAAAGGAGAGCTCAAGAGTAATGAATAAAGAGCCATTGACAATTTTCGATCTGGATCAAAATCAAAACTGAAAAGTATTTCGTGTCTCATTCATCTGACCTTGCATATACAAAAAACAAACAAACAAAGAAACGAAGTAAACAAAGATTAGCATTAGAGAACAGGTTCAGAACCAGGACTGAGTATAAAGACATATGTTTTTGCTGTTGGAAAAGCCAGAATTAGAGAATACAAATGCTCCTCAGAGGTCACAGGCAGTCATTAGGTGTGATGAGCTGGTGTTTGAAGATTTCTCTCTATATATATACAGGTGTCTGCCTGACTGATCTAGAACTAAAGCCTTGAAAAGCACTTCTGCTCCAGCCACTGTTTCTCGCCTGGGGGTTTTATGCCTTGGCATCACTCTCATTAAATTTATTAAATGTGTCCTCTTCCTTCCACTCAAAGGCTGGTTAAAGCATGGTTTCTAGGGAAGGACGTGTGGCCTACAGTGATCCTGGTCTGCTGTGCTGGACAAAGTTCCAGGCGCCTCAACTTGAAAAAGTACCCCTAGGGGCAGGGGAGGGACTACTGCCAATGTTTCTCCCACCTGGAGACATAACAGTTGATGTTCACCCCTAGACTACCAGACAAACTCCCAGGCATCCCTGGAAGCAGTCTGATTTTTTAGTGGCTGAAAAGATGACCTCATGCAACCCAGATCTTTGCTTTCTATGCATGAGGAAGAGCGGGGCTGGCTTCAGATGCAGCCTTTTCCTTACTTGCCTCTTCTTTTGGAGGTCTTCCAGGTTCATTGTCCCTGTGGGCTCTTGTTGCTTTTGAGCAAAGAGAGGGCTGCTAAATCTCTTTATGGTTATGATCACTTGTGTTTTATCAGCCATTGACTATAGCTCCTTGGGAAATGCCTGATGGTCATGCTCCTGAACAGGTCTTTTCCGTGTTTAATTGACGCCTGTGGAGTCATCACTGAGATGATGCACAGGCTTCTTTTAACATTAGTCATTTGTCTTCGGGCTTTCCGGTGGAATTGTTTGGTCAGATGGTGTGGCAGGTAGTATGTGTTTGCAAACAGCATGGCATCTTAGGCAGGCCCTAAATGGCTCTGTCATTCTGGGCATGTCCGGGGTAGGTTGGAGCTTCCTCCTTCCTGTTGTACTTTGGACGGCTCAAAGCACAGCAGCAGTTCTGCCTGTGGCCTTGCACTCTGACACCGTGACTCCAGAAGGGAGCTGGGCATTTGTTCTGCAATCTACAGGGTATCTCTCTAGAATTACTAGAATTACCAGGGAAGGGGGGCAAAACAGCCAGAGCCTGATGCTGTAACTGGAAATGCTATGATTAGCCACCATGGAAGACACAGGATTTGTTCACCCTGCTTTGTGAAGTCTGGTCCTTCTATGCAGGGGGAAAAAAAAGAAAGAGAGAGAGAGAGAAAGGAAAAATGACCTTGACTCCTCTGACTCCCCAACATGCTGAATTCACTTCTGTGAATGCCCTTTTCCCAGCAGTGGAAGGGGCTTGAGTATATGTCTGCATAAGTCCAACACAGGAAAATCACATATTAAGTGCTAGCCATTTATGGACCCACCCCCACCCAGCCCTGCCCCCTCCCCACCGCTTTTCTTTCCCCTACCTCAAGCTTAATATTCTCTAGCTAATGGCTAGCAGTCAAGCTCTGCCAAGGCTTGCTGAGAAATTCTGAAATACAGAAGGCATTCAGGAAGTGGTATTCATCATCTTCCTCCCCCATCTGCCCTCACCCTCTTCCCCTCCATAATCACCTTCATCGTAATAGTTATTATTTACTAAGCACTAACCTGCAGCACCCACTGGCAAACATTGCCTCAGATCTTTACACCTCCAAGATAGGTACTAACATCCTCATTTTGGAAATAAGAACGTTCTTGTCCAGAGAGGTTAATTTTTTTTAAGATCACACAAATAGTGAATAACAGTACTAACATTCAAGCCCCTATCTAGCTGGCTCCAAACCCGTACACTATCCCTGTGCCTCCGAGGGGGGCCTTGGAAAGGGCAGAGCAGCTGTGTGTGTGTGTATTGGGGGAGGGGGTGGTAGTCTCTAGCTAAAAACCAGTTTTCACAGACTGTCCTCTGCAGCAATGAAATAATTTTTAAAATCAAGTGGTCTTTATCTGAGTGATTATGTATCACTGGGAAGAGATAGACACTCATATTTGTATAAATATCATATATCTGAGTAATATATATTTTCATGTTTAAAATTTCATATGTATATAGGTATTTTATATGATATGTGTGTGTGTGTGTGTGTGTGTGTGTGTGTGTGTGTGTATATATATATATATATATATATATAGTGGTACAGAAGTATCCCTGTTTAAAACTAAAACCCAGTAAGTTTCAAATTCAAATGTATTGCTTAAATCTATTTTGTGTGGTATGTATGTGGGCGTGTGCTCCTGTGTCTGACCGACGATGTGGGATGTCTGTAAGATTGTGTCAAATCTGTCAGGATGGGGGTGGGACAGCAGTGACCTGGGAAAGGTCAGAGAAAAGGCAATAACAGAACTGGAATCGAGTAAACTGTTAGATTCAAGTGCATCGGCTGCATTTGCCTAAGTCGTGATGGGAGAGAACATGTGTGAATGTGCACCTCCCAACAAAGCCTTGATGTATTATTTTACTTACACAACTGTTAAGGACACCTGTTAATGGCCAACATCACCCAAATATATTGAAATATCCCGGACAAGAACCTCAGAATGAATCTCATTGCCAAGTGTTTAGAATGACTGGGGACCCCAAGGGTAAAGGATCTGGAAATTGCAAAAATCAGATTTTTAAATTAGGCTTCAAAATCTATATATATTTTCACTGATGTTAATGAAAGCATGATATTTTTTTTGGACAAATGGACTGGTAGGAAAAATTTTTTCTGTAATTTGCATAGCTTTTAAATGAACTCTTTTTTTGTATTTTAGTGTATTCCTTCTCTTTTAAACCATGCTTTCCCCCTTCTTTTTATTGAAGATAAACTCTTTAGTCTATTGGAGAGAGCCTTGAACTTAAGAAATTTGATATTATTGATTCTGGCTGTTTGATACTGAAGAAGTATCTGAATTGCTCGGGACTTAGTTTCCTCATTTGTAATTAAGACATTGGGTTAAATTAAATATAGAGTCTTTTCCAAATTAAAAATATTTTGATTAATTGGAGGTTTTGTTTTTTTTTTAATACCTGTTCTTTACCTAAATGAGAAAAGAGATGGGAAGAATGACTTATGTTAGGTCTAAAAGCCATTTCTTTTAGGCCTCTTTAAAACAAGAGATGATTTTGGCATGTGCAAACAAGTACTCACAATTGCCAAAATGAAGCAAGGCCCTCTCACTTTAGCGTCCTAAAAGGGACTGTAGATTAGTGGCTCTAGATAAGCTGACCCTGAGTACATTTTAAGAAACTTCCGTGCTCAGGCCTGGGGGAAGACCCAAAGATGAATCAGGCATCAACCCTAGTGTAAAGGAGCTTACGATGTAGTTTTATATACATATATTACTGTACATAATGAAAAATGATTGGGGTAAATATTAAAACAGAGATATAAAGAAGGTGTTATAGAGGCACACAGAATAGAAAGATTAATTCCCATTAGTCCCTACTTTTCAGATGAGGAACTGCTTTGTTGAAAAAAATGGCATTTAACCTGAGATTTGAAGAATGGTCAAAATTTCAAGGGATGTGCTTAGGAGATCTGGGTTGGAAGGGGACTTTCCTGATGAAATGAGCCAATTCAGGTAAGGGATGGGGGTATATACGGGAAGTGGTTGAAGGACTGACTTTCTTGCCTCCCAGTAATGCTTTGTTAGTACCTGTCTCCTAGCACTTCTAATCACATTATTATTTTTAGCTATCTGTCTTCCACATCGTCTATGAACAACTTGCACACGGAGAGTATGACTGATTTCTCTTTATAATCCTAGCTCCTAGTACAGGGAGGTATCTTGGTCATTGATGATGAGTGAATAAAGGAATGCATGGAACTGGGGAGTAAGGATGCTGGAGAGTGGCTTGCTCACAGCCACCGTCCTGTTCCATTGTGATCAGAGCTAAACTGAATAGGTGAGTGAGGCTTACGTGGTGAAAAAACCATATGAAGCAACCTGAATGTTTTCTGAGCATTTCTTGTTACTTCTGCATAATGTTCCCATAGCTCTAGATAGGCTCATCACTGAGCCCCGTTAGAAATGAAAATTCTGGGGGCACCGGGGTGGCTCAGTGGATTAAGCATCCAACTTCATCTCAGGTCATGATTTCACGGTTTGTGAGTTCAAGCCCCGAGTCGGGCTCCATGCTGATAGCTCAGAGCCTGGAGCCTGCTTCGGATTGTGTCTCCTTCTCTCTCTGCCCCTCCCCCACTTGTGTTCTGTCTCTCTCTGTCTCTCAAATAAATAAATAAATAAATAAATAAATAAATAAATAAATGTAAAAAAATGAAAATTCTGAGGCAGAGCAAAATGGTCAGGAGGGTCAGATGCAGAATTCTGATGTAACTTCTGTCCTAGGAACAATTCTTTCTCCCGGCATCCTCTCTGCCTCCTTTCTTCCCTTGTCAAATTTCAGCTTCTCGTGTTACCTGTCTGGCCTCAGCCTCAGTCTGC